AATAATATATATATATATATATATATATATATATATATATATATATATTCACCTATAATTAAGTAGTAGCAAGTCACTGTTGGAGGAAGTAAAAGTTTCTTTGAGCAAGTTTGATGAGATTAATTAATTAAATTTTCTGTTGTATTAGCATTGCAAATCATTCTTTCTCGATCATCTAAATGATATGTTTCGTCCACGTAAAATCTTCTATATAATTTTCGTCATTTTACACTTATATAATTATAGCGACTTTGCCGAGAAAGTCCGCAAGAGACGTAACTGAAAGTGGTCCAGCTATCGAAAAATAAAGAGAGACAACAAGATGAAGGATAAAAGCAAAACCGATAGTAATCACGAAGGACAGTCGTGTTCATGCTAATGAATTTTTTTCACTCGCACCGATGCTAATCATTGCTATATGCGTATTACATGTGTGCGATATTGCGTATGCTTTTATTAAATCGTTTGGCCAAGCCACACCTGTGCAGAATCAGGGACAATATTCCAAGCCGATATTTTTATCTCATCATCCAAATCTCCGTGAATTGAATTGGTCACATTCCAGAAAAGGAGGAAAGTATTTAATTTTTAGCTTAGACGCTAGAAGAGTTAATATTTTTTTTTATTTCTGCATTTACACCTTTTTTGATCGCTGCAATTTTTTTCCAGTTAATGTTATTTCTTTATTATTTTCTATTTTACATTGTGCTTCTTATCATAATTAGAACATTTATTATTCTTATACACAAAATTACGTACAATTAAATAGTCTCAATTTTTACAAAAATTTTATTTGACAAAATTGGATGAATCAGAATTTGACAATCAAAAGTAATTGTTTTTTTATACAAAATTGAATCAAATTCTCACAATTTTTATTGTTTCTCAGATAGAATATTATATATGCAGATGAAAAAATAATATAAACATTACAATCAAAACATTATTGCCATATATAAGATAATCTTATTTTGCACAACAATTCAACAGAAATAAATTTGGTTATTTCTGTAGAGAATCTTTTCCCGTTCTTTTATTTTGCATAAAGATATCATCACGACCCAAATTCTATTTACAATCACATTCATAAGCAATGCACAGCCGGCGTTTTTTTAAATTTATCGCGACGCAGGGATCGCAAAGAGATTTCTCGGCGTAATTGCGTTCTCGCTCACTTTTAGTCGTGTGTTTGCGTTCCTTAATTGACTTTTTTTTTATCGGCTTTAATCGGATTGCACAATGTTGCTGTGCGCCACACGGATCTCGCATGCACGCACCCACGAAATTTACATAAAGGATATCACGTTTCACGGCCGGAATAATCTGGCCCACGGCTCGCATAATCCCGGCCACTTTCAGACGACCGTCGCACGATTGCGCTTTGTAACGACTTTAATATGCCAAACTGAGTTTTCGATTGGTGCCGCGCGCGAAGGCAGATACATTTTTACATTTGAAACTTCTGAATCAATTTCTGAATGACAGGCTTGACGAGATTGAGGTTTATTCCGTTGTCATTGTATTGCAAGAAATAAAGGTGGTTATTATTTAACTTTGTCGGTGTTGAAATTTTTTGTGCGTTATACGTTTAAAAATTTTACGCAACTTCTACAGAAATCTTATTCACTTGCAAAATCTTGGATTACATTTTTAATTATGCACAAGACGACTGGAGGGTTTTGCATATGTTTATATTGTTCATTATACCTGTATTAAACTGCGTGGCATTTTTATTTACATTTATTTATCAAGTAAACTTTTCTTTGAGATATAATTACGTAAAAAGAAAAAAGATCCGAAGGTAAAGTAAAGAGGAAATAAGATTAATTTTTAACGAGATACACCGTAATTTGTGTGTCTTACTTATTATTATTCCGGCCAAACAGTCACAGATGGTACTGAGCATTTTGTGTATCATAATTCAGGTTGTGAGAGCACAAATTAAGAACAGATTTATATTAAGTATACGTTTCGTACTACGGACGGCGCGTGTGAGAGAAGCCAAAGAAAATCGAAAGTCCGCCGGTGCACGACGTGGCGCCAGCTGAACTTCAGTGATTGGAGGGCCCACTGCACGACGACGACGGGTTACGTGATTTGGCAAATTGCTCAGATCTGCTTAATTAATGGGAAAACGTATCGGGCGTCGCGCACAGGTGCAGCTGCACTCGCGCGCCAGGCAGATGCATCGCGGTAGCGTCCGGGATTTTTTATTTACTTCTGCCATTTAAAGTGTCGTGATTATGGTAAAGCGAAAATCTGGGTCGGAGAAACTTGGACCGCTCTCATTTTCGTCCTTCTCGTTTTTTTTTCCGTTTGTTTTTACCTTTTTTTTTTTTTAGTTTTTATTTTTACAACGCAGACGAAACATCTGGAACGCCGGTAAACGAACAATCTGATATGTAAATGCGCGATCAGAAGTGTTTTCTTTTCCGAGCGACGACAAATCGAGAGTGATTTAACATAAGCTGTGATAGCGTTTGTGAAAAAAAGAAAGAGAAAAGAAACATGTACCGCTGTGTAAATATCGTTTGATACATATATCGAAGCAGAGAGAATGTTTATTGCTACTTTTACTTTTGAAAACATCTATAAATCAATTTAAAAAAAATATATATTATATGCATTTACATAAGTGAGCGTTATTAAAAAATTTTTAGTTATTTCTCGCATACTTCTGCGATAGAAAGTTGAAAAGTGAATTGTTGATAAATAGCTCCGGATATTTCAGATCGGAGGAATTCTATCCTTCGAGCACGATTCTTTTGTAGATTGGCGATAAAGAAATGCGTATTGTTTCGTCGTGGCCGGATACCGCAGGCTTTTTGCACCCTATCTGATTGAGAATGATCATTGTAAATTAAATTCAGCTGGATATCGAAGGACATTGCCATTTGACATCGATTATTATCGCGGACAGTAGAGTGTCCGTTAAAAAGTTGTCCTGGTAGCCGAGTGTTACGAATTGTAACAATGTGTTTTTCAATGGCATTTAGGCTCTGTTCTCTGTAGTTTGTGCTGTAGTATTTCACCTTCAGAAATATAGCTAATAGCATCACGTAAGCGTTTTAGATTCAATCTGCACTTCATATTTCGAGCGTTGAAACGCGGTGGCAGCGCTCGTTTGTCATAATAAGCTCAGTCAAAGGTATGAT